GAATGCCAAAAAACGCCAAAGAGATCCAAATTATCCAAAAACCAATTTTATCCTGATTATAAAATTTGATCCATTTTCGAAAAATACTCAAACCAATCCATTTAGGAAAAACAGTTTGTTTCCTCGATTCATTTTTATAAAACAAAACTGTTATGATTTGATTTGATTTTTGAAAAAAAAAATACTTATTTATAAATATAAAATAAATAATTAAATTGTATTCAATCGTGTTAATCCAATTTTAAAAAATCTAATATATTTTTGTAAAACGAATTATTATCAGTTAAATTTGTATTTTTCAAAAATCTGATACATCATCGATTCTAATTTACAAGAATCAATGTGTGTACGTGCACGTATATATGGTTTTGTTTGGTTTCCTTGCGTGTGAGAGAACCAAGTGTGGGCTTGTGAGATAGTGTCGAGTTTGGTAGTTCGCGTGCATCACAAAGAGGTGGATATTGTGCTCATTATGGTGGCTGCCAGCCACAACCATAAGATTTATTGATGACGACATACACTCTACATCATTTCAACCCCTTAAAACTGCAAAATTTTGATTCTAACTCACAATTTTTCATCATTGCCTTCCCTCAATTCTTGTTTATTCACTCCCCTTTACCCTTGTGTTGTAAATAGTGTATTTTATACTAATTTTTCCTTTTCATTTCGTCTTTATACAAATTAAGGAGAAGCTTCTATGTAGTTGATTATGCTGAATTATTATTGATATAATCTCCTCAATACTCGTAAATTGGAAGTCAAGGAGACCACCTATATGATGGAGAACTTAGTTTTACATGTCGGCAGAGACAGGTTACCAAAACTTGTTCCAAAAGACCATGATATACTAATTACTTCCTTTTACTTCAAAATTACTGTTACTTCTATATGAGACTAGTTAAACATTATGATCCAAATCAACTTTATATATGTTCCAACAAGTTACAAATATGTGACCTGGGGTTTGGTTAATTAGTAACAAAATTGCAAACTGAATGTGATTTATAATCTGTTGCTGATCCGCAGTAGATACAAGTCAGAACCATAAGCATCTGATGGTATTATTCCATTAGTCTCTAAAAATATTTTATGTTCAACTTTCATGGTAACATAATGATGAATGCTATTTAGTTGTTTTATAACCCAGACTATTAAAACTAAGCACTTGGAGAATAAAGAGAATCGTTTTTAATTTAGATGTTGACATGGTTAACAAGTGTGCATGCATGTTTTGATAAATACAGAAATTAAATTGATAAAATAGGTTAAATAACGATAATGCCACCTAGCTACATGAAACTGCATGAAGAATAAAAATGATGTTGGTGCTTTTCATTTCACGTACGGGCCTCCCCAATTCAAGGATATTCTCATTATTTACCTGACACGCCTGATTTCTTTTGATTTTTTCATTTGGTTCCTTCATGGTTTTTGTTTTTCTTCTGCAAAATGGTAATAATTATTATTATTCTAACACCAAATACGGATATGATATTTTGAGCACGTCAAGATTTTGGTTAATTAACACATGCTCTCTTAGCAATAGACAAAGATGTCTCCATCAACTGAGGTGTCTTCACTTTTCCATTATGCAGTGGCCATTATCTATATCAGAGTATGCTCATATCTAACAGAGTCACAAGTGATTGGGTTTCTTACTTCTAATTTTACTTTTTGGTTACAAAATGTTCTGTTTTTAACTAGATTAGCGCTTTGTCAAAAAAAAAAAACTAGATTAGTGCTCTAATTAAAACAGTCTATTCATCATAATTGTTGTTTTGCATAACAACAATACAGCATCTGGCTCCGGATTATGATTGTGTCTCTATTTTAATAGAATTATCATTGAAATAGTTAAGTTGAATGCTGCATTTTGACTCACCTCACCAAATCAAATTTCTTTGAATGAACAAGGTCTACTAAATCTCCAGTTTATTTATGATTGTGAAAAGAAATGTATGATATGGTCTCAACATAATTATTTCTGGCATTTCTCATCATCAGTTCAACCAATCATTCTAGTCAAATTAGCCCCACATATCGTTAAAATTTCAAATTTAATTAAGTTCACTTTAAACTAAATTTCTAGTTGCTAGACATGTATACAGAGTCCAAAATGTATTGTAGAAAATAATGTTTGAAATATTAAACCACTCCCCTAACCCTCTCAATACTCGACCTCCACTTTTTCAAATTTATTAGTGAAAAAGGAAATATAGAAAACCACTGTTGATATTCTTATATATTATTGGAAGCTACCTAGAATTAGAAAGCTGAAGAAATGTAGAAATTAGTATTTGACCTATATTAAAACGACGTCCACCCTTCTCCCACCCCAAAAAAAAACCTGTCAATACTTTCTCTCACTTTTCCAGACTTATTTAGGTAACAAAATACAGAAAGTAATATGTATGGAAATAATCCTTTTACCAGAGAAATTATTATTAGTGGATCACATGATTCCTAGATTCTAACTAGTCTTTATATAATTGGAATGAGTGTTATTAATTTTTTTCCGTAAATTGAAAAACTTAAATATACATCCTATAGTAATTAATTGAGATTATGGACATTTAGTGATTTTAGATTATTTAATAGTTTTTCCTTCCGCAAGCTATTTGACACAAAAGAAAGAAAATTGCCGGTACAATGAGTGATATACACGATATAATAAAAAGAGAGATAAAAACTTGCTACGAAATTTATTAATATATGAATGTCTAAATATTATTATTTAGTCAATTATTATTCTAAAAATAAATTTTTGTTTAATAAAGAAGTATAATTATTTTTTATTGATAAAGCGATATTTTTAATCATATTTATTTTACTAAATTTTAGTCCTCGGTTAATTAAGAAACACATGTTAAATTATTTATACTAACCACTTTTAATATTATTCTCAAACTGATATATGATCACCGAATAATCCGATAGATTCGATTAATAGTTAAACATATTTATATACATTGTGGAATAATCTATAGAGTGAGAAATTGGTGTTTGATTTTGGATATATCATATATGTAAAAATTAGTGAAACTAGCAACAATCAGAATAGTACTAGGCTTTGAGTGAGCTAGCGAGGCAAATGATACGGTGGTAGCACCAACACCAAGTATTGCTTGCACTTGAAAGACTCTCCGTTATATGAGTATGACATATATAGAGAGAGAGATTATTTAATATTTAAAAAAGCTGTGTTGTGTAGATTTAGAAGGGGTGTAAGAGTGATGAAGGTGAGGCAATGAGGGTGTTGGTGTCTGTGAAGATTGAAGTAAAAAAAGAGAGCAAAATGGTTGCATATGATGATCCTAGCTACTCACTTGATTATGGCTAGAATGATGATTCTTGGTTCCATCATCCATGACCCGCATCCGCATCCGCATCCGCATCCGCATGCCTATAAATCCAATCCTTTCTCCCTCACACCAGCTTCAAGGCTTAAACTTCAACACACATCATCACCATCTCCAATGGCAGGTTTCGAGGGGTTCGAGAAGCGTCTGGAGCTCCATTTCATCGGGCACGATCCAACCACCCTCCAACTGGGCCTCAGAAAACTGGACTTCCACTGCATACAACAAACCCTACAAGCAGTCCAATGCAGCGTCGTTTCAGCCCTCGGCAACTCCTTCTTCGACGCCTACGTCCTCTCCGAATCAAGCCTCTTCGTCTACCCGACCAAGATCATCATCAAAACCTGTGGCACCACGCAGCTTCTCAAGTCCATAACCCCTCTTATCTTCTACGCACACACCCACCTAGGCCTCACTCTCTCCTCCTGCCGCTACACCCGAGGAAACTTCATCTTCCCCACCGCACAACCCTTCCCTCACACAAGCTTCAACGACGAAGTCACCTACTTGGAAACCACCCTCCCCACAACCCTCTGCTTCAGAAAAGCCTCCATCATGCCCTCCAAATCCTCCTCCCTCGCCTGGCACGTCTTCACCGCCACCTCTCACCTCCACCACCACCCTTACGCTTACACCCTCGAAATATGCATGACCGACCTCGACCCCACCCTCGCCGCCAAGTTTTTCCGTCGCCCCGCCGACGGAAAAAGCGGCCACTCCGCCGGGAAGGAGATGACGGCGGCCACGGGGATCGGCGAGATTAATGAGCACGCGCTGGTGTGCGATTTCGCGTTCGACCCGTGTGGGTACTCGATGAACGGAATGGATAGTGAGTGGTACTCGACGATCCACGTGACGCCGGAGGAGGGTTACAGCTACGCGAGCTTCGAGTGCGTGGGGCACGTGAGCGGTGATGACGTGGACGTGGACATAGTCCACGTGTTGAGGAAGGTGGTTCAGATTTTCCGACCTGGTACGATGTCGGTGTCTACGACGTCGTTGGGGAACAACGAGGTGTGGAGAGAGGTGGCGGGCGCGGTGGAGCCGATGGGGTTGAAGTTGAGGAGTTGCGCGGTGGACCAGTTCCCGGAGTGTGGGAGTGTTGTGTTTCAAACGTTTACGCCCATTCGTCGGAAAAGTGCACACTAGGTAGGGACAATAATTGGACGAGGTAGGGTTTAGGGTGGGGGATTTAGGAGTGCTCACGTGGCGGGATGTGATTGGTTTTTTATGGTGGTGAATATAGTATATTGTTTTTAGTGATAGAGGATTGGTTTTGGAAAAGGGTGAGATGGAGGATCATGATAATGCACCCCACTTAGGCTTGTCACGCCTGAGATTTTTGAGGATGTGTTAGTGGCATGGGTGTAAAAGTGCTCTTGTTTTTCAGGTTATATATATATATTCAACTTCCTTTCTTTCTTCTCTCTTTCTCTTTTATGCTTTCTTTAACTTCTCATACAACCTGCTCTGCTCTCTCCTACAGTTAAATCAGCCACACCTCATGATTTTGTTTATAGACAAGTTTAGCGAACTAAATTATACACTTTTGAAACATCTTATTTTCGCTTAATATTTCTCATTGTTGCACCATATGCTTTAAAGGATGAAGATGCACGAATTAGCATATCCAGAGTTTACAATTATAAGCAATAATATTGAGCTGTAACCACTTTTGCATGGGCTTTTGTCTCCTTATTTTAATTAATTATGTAAATTCAAAAGGATAAAAGAAATCCTTATACACGTCAGAAAAGGAATTGAAGCGCAACAAAAAAAGGGTATTTGTGAAAGCGTTCCTGTCGTCTCATTCTTGTAAGAACATTAGTACGTGAATTATATATACTATAAAATGTGAGTAATTTGAGTACGTTAATTAGAACTGATGCACATGCATTACGCAGGAGTATTGTACGTAGTGGTGGCATTGTATGGTTATTAAGAAACTTAAAGTGCACGTGGCCATAATTGAATTTGGGTGACACGCCATAGAGAAGGCGAATATATAGTTGATGACGAAAATAATTAATTAGAGACAGGTAGAGAAGCATTAATAATATATGTTCCCAAATTCTTAGTTGCCTTTTTATAAACTAGGAGATCTTCCGAAAAAGGTTCATGATTAGTGTACCAATTTGACATAATACAAATTACACGACAAAAGACGTAAATACAACTCACTGATTTGGGGTGACGATTTCTTGACCTTATATACACGTTCATGACTTTGAGTGAAGTCAAAATAAAGGGCACATTACGTAGGGTACACTATTTAACCTTAACTTTCTACTTTAACGTTATTGGTTTAGTTAGTTTCATTAGAAAGTTAAATTTTGAAATTCAACTGATTGTCTTTGATCAAGTTCAATATCAATGACCGATCAAAAAAAAAATCTATATCAATTACTAATTGTTTTGAAATATTGCATAACATGTTTATAACTCAAATCATGAAGTAGCATATATAAAATTTAAATAATACATAAACAAATTGTTTTTTTTTAATAAAAACCCCCCCCCCCCCCCCCTCTCCAGCCCTGCATTAATCCAAATCACATAATTCTGCAAGCAACAAATATTCCCAGACATGCACAAATTTCCTAGAAACAACGTTTGTAATCTTTGGATCAAAAAACATCATATACGGAGTAAGTTCTCAAGGAAAATGAGGAATAGTATTTTGCTGGTTTTACTCTCTCTTTTTTAATTTTTACCAAATAGATTCAATATGGATCAATTTCAGGCTAACCGGTTGGTGTTGATTCATTTCATAAATCAACTGTATCTGATTGGTTGACTTGTGGCAAATCAACAACATATTCTATTATCGGATCTTTTATACCATTGTCAGGACGAAATTATATAAAAGACATAAGTGATGCATGTCTGATCCATTAGCGGGGAGTCGTGAACCCTTCATGAAATTAAGTGTCAAAGTACCAAAAATAGCCTATCTGTTTTTTTTTTTTTTTTATTTCTTCTGAAACCCTATTAAGAATCATATTTGGTTAAAAAAATTAACATAAATAAAATTTCTTAAGTTGTCCAAAAAAAAAATTGAGCCTCTAACTAAAATAATTTAAAACTTAACTCGAGTCGAGTACATATTTAGATTAACTTAGTTTGAGGGGAAAATCTTATTTTATAACTTCTTAAAAAAGTTAAAAGAATATGTTTCTGAATAAATTGAAATGACACAAAGGTACACATAAATCAGTTAGTTACTTTAATACAATTGAATGTATGAAGACACACTCAATCATCTGGCTGGTTTGCCCGAGAGGTTAAGGGGGAAGACTTAAGATCTTCTGCACATAAGTGCGCGTGGGTTCGAACCCCACAGCCAGCACTTTTTTAAATTTAATTTTTGGTGTAAAGTTAACAAAGCTTAGCGTTTATCTTAATATTTAGAACACTCCTTTTTATTTACTCCTCTTATTTTAAAATTGGGCTCTCTTATCCTTAAAAAAAAAGTGGGCTCTCTTCGTATCTTAAATTGGGAATTGTAACCAACCCATTATTCTGATGGATGGGCTACATATCAAAGGCTCACTTTACAACATTTGGCATAATATAGTCCCAAATCCGGATATCCCAATGTTGAGGTCACTTATTACATATTTAGTCTAAAATATTATCATTTAATTTATTATAAGAATAATCATAAAGTAAAAGACATGATTATTAATTAGGAGAACACATTAAAAAAAACTTAAGAAATTAAAAATATCAATAGTTTTGGAATAAAAAAAAAACTAAAACTTAATAGCTTTGGATACAATTATCAATGTAATATTGACAAGTTGTGGATCTTTGGTTTGAAAATTTTCTGACTACTTGACTAATTACCAATTGTGAGTCACTTAACATATATCATCACTCCCAAGTCCTATTTCCTTGGCTATTTTAATTTTGCAATTCAACATGATTTTGTATTCAACTTGGTTATTATTTGTCCTAAACTCAAAGTTAATTAATATTTTTATTACTACTTCGCTTAGACCTTCAATAATGACTCCTAACCCTACTATACTTGAAATCTATTGACATGATCCATCTTTTTAGTCTTTTTGTTCCTCTGATAAGGATGTCAACCAATCCACAAAATCAAACAGCACGTATGTTATGATAGAATCTTTAACCTCATACATTATGTTAGAAAATTGGAAGGCCCAATTCTTAATGGGCTCAAACGTAACGAGAAAAGTCCTTCATGGTTAGTGGGCCTAGTTTTTATTTTTTTTGTTGTTTCTTTAAAGTCTAGATTTGATTCTTGAATGGCTCAGATTTGTTGACCGTTACCTTCGTTTTAGCTATTTAGTTGTTGAATTGTAATGTTGGAGGATAAGAAATATGATGAATTTATTTTGAATTTTCTATTTATCTCTCTTTTACCCTTGGTTAATGTTAGAACCTAACATTTTGGTGCTTTCATTGTTGTCCCTATGCCTCCCAAAGCAACTTCCTCCAAAGAATTTGAGGACATGCTCGCTAAAAAAATTAACCTACTCACTACATAGTTTGATAATGACTAGTCCTTCAGTACTCTCGACATGAAAATGCCATTATGTTGCTGGCTGGAGTTATAGAGCAACTTGTTGTTTCAAAACCACCTAATGCTCTACCCTCCCTTCTTAGTTCACTTTCTGCCATGTCTTGGGTATGCCTTTAATGAACACCTCTAGCCCACTCGTTTTTCCTACCATTTCCTATCTTTCCAACCAACTGAAACTTGCACTCCTCTTTCCATTTCACTTCCATGACATTCTAACCATCAATTCAGTACCATACTCATTACTTACCAACATATTTTTGACTCACCCCTCCTTGTTCTCACAACCACTATATTAATTTGATTCCCAATCACATTCTAGTTATATTGCCACTCACAAAAAGAAACAATATATGACAAATCTTATACAAGAGACGTTGATGGTATTGTTGTCCTCAATAACAATCCTTATTCTTTCCCATAATTATTAGTTTAAAAAAATGGCACTTGACGATTTTGTGTTAGATTATAAGGCCTTGAATGTTCTTACTATTAAGGACAAACCCTACATATTCATTTGCGCTTCCAACAAGGTCTTCTTCACTTTGCCACCAAACTCACCATGGCTAAACTATAAGCTACATTTGCATGGCCTGGCATGCACTTCGATGTGAAAATGTTCATTAGATGTTGTGCAACCTGTCAATACAACATATACATACCCATAAAAAAAATCAGGATTTTTGCAACCCTTATAAGTTCTTGAAAAAGGTTTGGGATGAATTATCAATGGACTTTGTCACCCATCTACCTAGTTCTTACAACCACACAATAATATGGGTGATTTGTAATCGACTTACCCATTTTGCTCATTTTATTGCCCTTCCTACTTAGTACTCTATTCAACAACTCGCACAACAGTTTTCTATTGACATCTTTTGCCTACCTAAGGCACTACAGCTTATGATCCCATCTTTCTTATTTCCTTTTGGACTCACCTTTTTAAGGCGCCCAAGGCAATGCGTTAAAATGCATTTTGTGGTCAAATAGAAATCTTAAACCAATCCTTGGAGGCTTATCTTCACCGCTTCATGAGTCAAAATGCCAAGAAATGCCTTAGTAAACCAGAAGGCCCCATGCTTAATAGGCCCAAATGTGGCAAGAACAGCCCTTCCTGATTATATGATTATTATTAAATAGTGGACTTATTTGTTTTTTTTTTTATGTTTTCCCTAAAGTCTAGATCTAATCCTTGAATAACTCAAATTCGTTGACCATTACCTTCTTTTTTGACTATTTAATTGTTGAATTGTATCGTTGGAGGATAGGAAATATGATGGATTTATTTTTAATTTTAAAATTCTTGTATTTTTAATCCTCGGTGAGATCTCAAGGTGTTGTTTTCACAAGGCTGGTGGTGAATGGAAGTGAATAATAGAAATAGTGAAATAGGTATGAAGGTGCTTGTTATGTTTGGATTTGCAAATCAAATGACAATGACGCAGAAGGAATGCCACACCAATTCCTCATCTCTAAAACAAAATAATGAACCAATTTGAGAAAGAATAGAATGGGTAACGTAACGTAACGTGGATCAATTCGAACCGGTTACTACAACTCCACAAACAAACCACCTAGTGTATACACACCGGAAAATTATATATTTTTCTATTTTTTAAGTCCACGTTTTATTTGTGGGCTTGTGGAACCCATTAGTCCACATTCTCTATATATAATCTCAGTCCAATTAATACCTAACTTTTGGATTTACATGACTCAACTCGCCAAATTTCTTGTCACTTTAACTAACTTATTTTGCTAACATTATATTTTTTTAAGGATTTAATTCTTCTAAACTAATTTCTAAAGGGTAAATGAGAATTTTTACTAGTTAGTGAAAAGATCAACTGCTTATATTCTATGTATATGCTTTACAAATCATAAGTATGCTGAAATATTAACTACTATTTTTTTTTTTCATCAACCCTTGTAGTAATGCGAGAGATATTTAATATTAGTTCTTATAAAAGAAAATTTAACAACACTTTTGGTTAAGTCTTATAAAACAGACCCGTAAATTATATGAGAGTATGACTTAACCTTTATATTGTTATAACAAAAATATGTTGCGAAAAAATTGTTTCAATGACATACCGTCCTTTGTACTCAAAGTATTTCTTAAATTTTTGATCCATTTCCCTCAAATTTTAACTTTGTGTACTATATTCTATATGTTTGGCTCCTTTGAGAAACTGATTTTTGTGTGGAAGCACTAAAAATGAAATAGGTAATTTATTAGGACGTGGACGTGAAGAACAATGAGCGAAATTGTGTAAGTTAGGAGGTGGACAGGTGAAACGACAAGAAATTGGCTGTGTCTCCTATGGAAGCTGTGAGTGAGACAAGGCATCAATGGGGTGAGATTATGAGATGAAAGAGGCACCAATATGAGAGCCAAATAGTGTTTGTTACATCATCATATTCATATCATTCACAACAACTAAAATTAAAATAAAAACACTAGTGAACGTGTGATTGTTTCAAGGATTTAAAATATATGTGAAATTGAAAATGCAATACTATCACATTTGTTATGACTTTTTAAATAGAATATTTTATGATAATGATCAAAAACTAGTTACACCATGACTTGTTTCATTCTCATATGAACGTGATAATATATATATATATATATATATATATATATATATATATATAACTTTATTATGACTTTCATTTCAAATCTTATTTTTATTTTAATATTTCATAATTTTAAAAAGGTTTTATTATTATTTTTCTATAATTTCATTAACTCTATTGCTTAGTCTATGTAATTAAAAATATCTCATTTTAGTCAATGTACATATTATTTTTGTTTTATTTTAGTACTCAAAAGGTTTTATAAACTTAACCTTTTAGTCCTTATAAAAATAAATGACAGATAAAAATATAAAGATATATTTAGGGAATAAAATAAAACATTTTTCATTATAGGAATAAAAAATAAAATTTATAATACTATAGAGACAAATTGGTAATTCAATCCTTTTAAAAATATTCTTTGAGATGTTAAAATCAAACTAAATATATTTTTAAATATTCTAAGAAATAACATTTTCAGTTATAATATACTTGTGAATGTGATTTCTAAGAATCCAATATCATAACTTAAAACAAATGTCCCATCACTGAGGAACAAATTTTTAAGTATGACATGTGATATGATCTTAAAAAAAAGAAAGAAAGAAAAATGATGTGTTTTTTATTTTTAGAATATATAGATTTTTTATTTAGATTATATGGTATATTTTTATCTTATGATATATTAAGATTATAGAGATTTTTATTATTCGCTAAAATTTATTTACATCGCAAATAATTTTATAGCTTTTAACATGTAACAAACATATTAAATTACTTATAAAAATGTATTAAATTTGAATTATTTGAAAATGTATTAAATTTGAATTATTCAATTGCTAGATTAAAAAATATATTGAACAAATCATATTTACATTTTATAATGTTTAAAATTATATTGCATAATTTCAAATTAACGTACAATAATTTTACTAAAATACGAGTAAATGAAAGTTATAAGATTATTTAATTATAAATATTTTATTTATCTAAAATTATAGTCATTGAGATAATATCAAAAGACTTAATGATTAAAAATCAAATTCCATATTAACTCAATAGTTTTTTTTAGGACATTATTAACTCGTTTTTTTTATAGATAAACTCAATAGTTATGTACATCATTTTTTAGATAAATTGGACATTTTTAGTTATGTAATTTAATAGTCAAAATTAAGGAATATATATATATATATATATATATATATATTAAATTAAATTTATATTATAGAGTATCGAATAGTTGTTTAAAAGATTAGTGAGATCAAATTAAACTTAAAATTTATGTTTTTCACATACCTTAAAAATTTACATTTTAATTTTTTTAATGAAATTATTTCTTCTATATTGGGCAACTATCACTGACAATTTTTTTAACAAGATATTGGTAAAAAACAGGAGATGGAAGTCCAAAATCAGAAAACATATTCAACTACATAATTCTTCGTCAATTTAAAAGTTATTTTTTTTATATTAATATAAAAAGTTATGTTACCAATTACCAGAGTAGATTTGTATGAACTATATGAAATAAAAAATGATTAAGTAGATTGACAAAAAATAAAGACTAATAAATATAAAATCTTGATAATCATAAACATTTTCTATTTTTGTACAATTCATCATTTTCCTAATTATTATTAATATAGAAAAAAATGAAAGCTTCGTGCCAAACTGTATCCCGTACTGCGTTTTAATTTGACTATGGAAGATTTTGAGACTGAGTTTGTAGTTTAATTGACCTCAAATATGTTGATATAATATAAAGTGACATTGACCAATTTGTTTCTTGGATTTCAACGTGAAGATCAAAACCAAATTCAAAGGGACATTTTTCTTCCAAATGTAAAAAATGAAACCACATGCTTAAATTTAAGCTCGACAACTTTTTTAGGTTTGAAATTTCTAAAAGCTTCAAATCAATATATATGTTCTAATTCATAACTTTTTTATTTTATTCAATAAAATGAAAATATTACTTATTTATAGATCATATATTTCTTTAATAGACAATCATATTTTAATAAATAGTTATATTTAAGACAGATAAAATTATTATGTATTTTTCATACCAAATATCTATCGCAATTAATATTTGAGTTTGAGATCATTAGTTAAAGTAAAATAATTTTATATTAATTAATTTGTATGCAACATCGAATATAGTAATGAAAGGTTAGAATAGTTTATATAAATTTGTAAATTGTATAATCTTATTATTATAATTTCATATTAAAAATATTATTTTTATGAGAATAAATGTATTATTAATGAAAATAAATTATGTTTGAGTTAAATAAGATAATAAAGGTGACAAAAGTTTTCTTTCTCGAATATTTAAGAATAAAATATTTTAAACTTGAATTTGAGATGATCAATAACTTAATATATTAAATACAAATATTTATTTTGTGCGAAAATGTTTTTAAGAATTTTTTTTTATAAGAAGATTTTTAGAGAATTTTTAACTTCTTTTCTAATTTATTTTTATTTATTATAATTATATATAAATTAAATTTAATATTTTAAAATAAATTATACATAAATAAAAAATTATACTACAATATAAATTATTTATCATAAATTTAAAATATAATTTATTTATTATTGTCAAAAATATATATAATTTATATATTTAAAAATATTTATTTATACTCAAATATAATATTTATTTGTATATATAATTTATTATAAATATTGATTATATATAATAAATATTTAAATATGCAATGGTCATACTAAATATTAGTTAAATTAAAATAATCGTGCATGCATTAACTCACATTTAATAATATCTCATTGCCTCATTAATATGTTTCATTTGAGATATAACTATTTTACCGGTCAAATTCTACTTTTGATTCCTATAATATTTAGTCCACGATTTTGTTTCCAATTTTTAAAAATTTCATGATTTCAGTTTTTATTTATTTATAGAATTTGTAATTTTAATCTCACCACTAAATCCACTAAATATTATTAACTATTAAAATTACAATAATGACAATAAAAGTATAATTTACTTAAATACATTTTTATTTATTTTTTTTTATTACCAATTTTATGAGATAAAATACAAATTAAAAGTATAATTTACTTAAATATGAGTTATTGTTATTTCAGCTTCTTAACATCAAACTTTAATTAACATTATAATTTGAGGTTTTAATAGTTTAACAAATGAATATTGAACGATGTAACCAAAATTACATATTTTATAATTTTGAAAAACTAGAATTGTGAAATTGTAAATTAAGAGACAAAAATTGTAGATTAGATATTATAATAAAACTAAAACAATAATTTAGCTTATTTGTTTTTGATTCAATTATAAACAAAATTATCTAACTTATACACTAATTAAAAAATTTAATTAACATCATTTATTTCTGATAATCTCAATTAAAAAATATTTTCTATATTACCATTCATTGAAATCAATATTAAGAATAAAAAGTTATTAAAAATAAAATCTCAATTAAATAAAAAAATATTATAGAAATAAAAATATTAAATATGGTAAAATCATTTGAAATTTAATCGTAGTGAATTCTGTAAGTCTATTATTCATATAAATAATTTGATAAGAAAAGCATATAATAGGAATTAGAGTTGACATGAGTGTAGTTGTTTGGTTGGAAGTTGGAACAAGGGGCTTCTCGGTAGACAAAGGCACTCATAGAATAGAATCTAAAATCCTGTCCCTGCCACTGTGTCTGCGTGTGCGTGTGTCACTGTCATTCTCTTTGGAGAACAAACCCATTCCCTTTGGACTCTTGCTTCCTACAACCATTTTCCTTCGATGCTCTCTCTCTTCTCCCAAACCAAAAAAAGTACAATTCTTCCTTTCCTTTTCACCAGCCCCACTCCACACGTTCTGAATCCCAAGCCACCTTTTTTCCTTTGATCAAACCCCTAAATGTCTCTACCTTTTGGTGGGGCAAGCTAACCCTTCCTCTAGGGTTCTCCTTTTCTTACCGCCTCATACCCATTCTCATTTTTTGTTCTTAACTTGCCCTTTTCTTTTTGTTAGCCTCTCATCACAATTTCCTCCCCAAAATCCCATTTTTCCCCCCTCCTCATCACTAGGGTTTGTTTTTCTCTCCTCATGTTTCTCAAAGTTTCAACCTTGGAGCCACATTGAGCTTTACTTTCTGCATTTTCTCCTTCTGGCCTTGTTTAGCTTTCATTTCCAAACATGGGTTGTGTCCATGGCAAGTGCTGTAGCCGTTACCCTACACCGTCAGTGGGTGGGTCTAGAGACTACGGAGAACTTGGTCCTTACTCTGCCCAAAGGAAGCACATTCTCACCCAGAGTTCATTGCAATTTGTTCCTGTCCCTTCCCATAACTTCACTTTGGAATACTCTGTGCTCACTCAGAGGGGTTACTATCCTGATTCACCCGATAAGGAAAACCAAGACAGTTTCTGCATTAGGACACAGTTTCAAGGTAGTCCAAGTGTCCATTTCTTTGGTGTCTATGATGGGCATGGGGAATTTGGCACCCAGTGTTCCAACTACGTTAAGGATAGGTTGTTGGAAAATTTGTCAAGTGACTTTGCATTGTTGGAGGACCCTGTTAAGGCCTACACTTCAGCATTCTTGACAACAAATAATGAATTGCATCAGAATGAGATTGATGATTCCTTGAGTGGCACCACTGCAATTACGGTGCTGGTTATTGGGGACACCCTTTATGTTGCTAATGTTGGTGATTCGAGAGCAGTGCTGGCTGTTAAAGATGGGAACCGGGTTGTTGCTGAGGACTTGTCCTCTGATCAGACACCATTTAGGAAAGATGAGTATGAGAGAGTGAAGCTTTGTGGGGCGAGGGTGTTGAGTTCTGACCAGGTTGAAGGGCATAAGGATCCGGATATTCAGAATTGGGGTGATGAAGAGAGTCACGGTGATGATCCTCCTAGGTTGTGGGTTCAGAATGGGATGGTTCCTGGGGCTGCTTTTACAAGGAGTGTAGGGGATGAGTTGGCTGAGACTATTGGTGTCATTGCCGTTCCTGAGGTGTCAACGGTTCAGCTTACACCTAACCATCTTTTCTTTGTTGTTGCAAGTGACGGTGTATTTGAGTTCCTATCAAGCCAAACTGTTGTTGATATGGTATGACATGCAACCTCTTGATGTCTAAAGTTTATTTAAGTATTCCGATAATGTTTTCGTTGGTTGAATTTTTTACTTACTGTCTTTCTTGTAATACCGGTCATCTGCTCCTTTTAAATTTTTAATGAAATTCATAAATTGTATGTTTTCTGTTGATGGCTAGCATCTTGCAAGTTGCAATTAAAAGCTTGGTTGAAAATATGGATGGGTTATGTTTTGTTTCGTGTAGTTATGTTTTTGGTTGTACAGTTCCACGAAAGGTTTTCTGTTCTGGTATGTGTTTTTTACCTTTTCTGCTTTCCTATCTGTGACATTTGTTGCGTGGAATAATGTAAATGTTCCTAACTGGTTGCCATATTCTGCCCTACAATTCAAATTGAAGTTTGCGAATATTATCCAACTACTGGTTCAATATATTATATATGTAATTATCTTATTTCTCAATATTACTCTTTATGTCTTGCTTCAGTTATTGGATTTTATGACAACAATTTTAATGGTATTTAGTACCTTATTATTCTTATGAGAGAAGGATACATCAGTTAATGTAATCTTAAAACCTAAGTGCCATATTCTTTTTGAAGATGAATTTCTATTCTGATGTTTCTTTTTTAAGGCATTTTTCTTTTCACGTATTGACTGACAGAATTGTGTAAGCTTGATCTGTAAATGGTTCACGAGACTAAGTACTTATTGTTAATCATTCTTTTAGGTCCTAAATGTTTACACAATCTGTGTAGGTTGCTCAGTGAGAGAAACTTATATTTTCCACAGTTTACTGCTGATCATCTCGGATTTGTTGCATAAGTGTAGACCAATGTATATTCACAAATTATTGTGAAACTGTTTGTGTAAAAAATAAAAATTGACCTTTCAGTAGTTAACTTTTCTAATTTTTAGCTCTACGGTTGCTACTAAATCTGATGAGTAGAACTAGGATTCAATGTCTTGATAAATTCAATGATTTCTTTTATGGTGTAGGCAGCAAGTTATTCAGATCCTCGCGATGCATGTGCTGCCATTGCTGGAGAGTCTTATAAACTATGGTTAGAACATGAGGGTCGAACAGATGATATAACAATTATCATTGTCCAGATCAAAGGCCTGTCTAATGTATGATTACTTGAGTATTCCTTTGGCCTCATTTACTTCTAATGTTTGCTTCATTTAGGCTTGGGTAAAGATTTTAAGCTTATTATATCCACAATTCTCCCCCTTCCCTCCCCAATGACCTATGCTGATCTTGAGTAGTTAATAGTTATTTCAGGCTATTCCTATTCAGATGGTAATTTATCGAAAATTTTCTTTTATGTATGTAATATATCTGAATGCGGGTTAGGGGTTTATAAATGATTGACGATCAAGTTTAGTCAGCTGACTACCATATGGTGATCTATAGTTTATCAGTCTCAAGAAACTACTACAATTAACAAAATACACCGTGTATTTTTACCCTTTTTTGTTTTAATTACATTTTCCCTTACTGAGTATTGTATTGTGATTTGATCATTGAATCTATCCCATCATATAAAATTGCTTATCTTATCTTTAAATTTTTTTGTAGTCGGGTACATCTGGACTTGGATCAGGTGAGATAAATGTCAGTGCTGTAACGCGGACCAAGAGCAAGAGGGTGAAGGGAGCATCTGAGATATCTGCTACTACTGGGTTAGATGTTTATCGTTCTGTCAGGAATGGTTTCTCTGATTTGCAGTCATGTCCACAGCATGTGGTCTCAACTAAAAGCCCAGCCATAGTTGTCCCCTCTCCAGCATGTCAAACACCGATTGCATTGGTACAGTCACTCAAACATTGTTCCATATTAATAATCATTTGATCAGGATTTGTGTGATAGTTTTATTTTACTTTATTTCAATTCCCTCATTTCAATTTACAGTGATTGGAGAGAGGCTTTGTGGAAGCTTCACCATGTTTCCTCATACTTTCTCCTAGGTATGTACATTTTATGCCAATTCTTCTTTAGTCTTCTGCATTACTTCCGTAAATTTTGCTTGTTTGCACTATATTATTAAATCAAAATGTTGATAAAATTTTGCTATGCTGCTGAAGGTAGCTGGTTTGAGATGCATTATCTTGGCAGCTGAAGGACCTTTTTCAGAAAACGTAGAAAGCACAAATGATTAATGGTTTTTTTTCTTTTGTTCTCAACCTTTAGCTAATTCAAGTTTCTTGTTATTTAACCACACAAAAGCACTTCAGGAGGACACTAAAACTTGTGTTCCCAAATAGCACTGCACCTCCACTCTCCAAAATTTAAACTTTGGAATGGGGTCTATAAATAACTTAAGATAAAGGAGAGCCGTTGGTGACTAATTTAATACTTGCACTGAATTGTAGTCAATGGTCAACTTGGAAGGCAAGCCATGTGCTATTATTTAGAATGTAAATCCCTTATCCTGTGTATCTTCTAGAAACATAACTGATTTTTTTTATTGCTTTCAAGATTAGTTTCATGTTTTTACTACAAAATGGTAACTCAATGAATGGTTATGGGTATAAGCAATTGGTTCATTTTAACAACGTAATAATGATGTGAATTGCGGTTTCACGTGTTACAATTCCGTTAAATGAATGTAGGAAATTTCTTACCAACATACACTTTTTAACATTTTCTTTTCTGATAATTTGTTTTTATTAGGTGAAACTTGTGTATCCGTAAAATTAAATTTCATATCTAAACAAGTAGTTTTCAATTATTTAGGAAGGGTGTGTTAAAAGTAAAGTAGTTAAAACGGACCACCCGGCCTGGTCTCACCTACCCCAAGTTGACCATTTGGTGGGCTAACTCAACTCGGCTCATTTATTAGTGAACTTAAAAAAATTGAACTTGGCTCGACCTACTACGGTTTGGTAGGTTAAATGGGTTGGTTCACCTAATTTATAAAAAAATATTTTTTTTCATCTTTTGTTTTCTTTATATATAACTAAAGTTCAAAAAGTTCAAACCTATTTTAAAAATTTGAAATTCTTAATTAAGACATTCATAAATGAATCATTCATTTCAAACATTAACAAGGTGTGTGGCACAAGCAGTGGAGCTAGGACAACAGTGGTAGGTGGCCCCTAAATGATGTGTGCAGTGTGAGGTGGCCTGGGGTGGTGACGCGTGGTGGCTCGTGACGTGCACAATGGTGTGTGGTGTGAGGTGGTTCACAACATGAGCTGTGGTGCGGTGATGCAGGGTGGTGCATGTCCCATCGTGCCTTGAGCTTAAGCATGAGGCACGACCACATGGTGGCGTGGTGCGGTGAGTGAGCATGAGAGGGTTGTTGGTGGTGGTGGGTGAGGTCGTGAGCGAAGGTGGCTCTAGTTGGTGGGTAAGGGGCTGGTTGGGTGGGTGAGGGGTTGGTTGTGTTGCGGTGAGGCATGAGGGGCTATGAAATTCAGTAATTAAAGGTTGAAACCCAATCTCATCTATAATCTATCTAAACATAATCATTGGACTGAAATCTGAAAGTGAAAATTTGCAAAGAATGAAAAACAGGCCCTATCTCATGTTAGATTGCACTATATGACCCAATAATTGTTGCATTTTTTTTAATCACAGGTTGGTGAGCCAGTCTGGCTTACCACAGGTTTAACCCAGGTGAGCTGAGTTATTAGTGAGTCGAGTTCAAAATTGATCTATATTGAAATTTTCAGTTTTTTTTCAATCCAACCCAGCTCGAACCGGTGGTGGGTTAGATTGGTTCACCGGCCAGAGTCCACTTTGACGGCTCTAATTAAAAGAGTGTTGTTACACGGGACACCTTTGTGCTTGGAGCATCGGACACAAGTAACGGTTGCATACTGGCTGGGGCTTCCTCCAATAATTGGAGCTTGGGAAGAATCCTTCCTTGCTAAAATGTCTGCATGATAGTTTCCCTCGGAGAACACAACCAATCCCGTTAAAATTTGTAGCTTTTGCCTATTAGGGTCATTAGTGAATGTATTGGTGCTTCGAGTATTATACATGTTTTAATAGACTATTTTTTGTCTTATTATTTACTTATCTAGTGTCTAGTGAGTCAATCCATGACTTACCTTTTTAGTTTTTATAACTCATTTATTTGATTTTTTAAATTTATAACATGTAAGCTCAATCCACGACCTACCTAAAGTTAAGTTGGATTTTCATCCCTCTTCAAAATAGATTCAACCTAATTTAGTAAAAAAAAAATATTGACAAATTAGATTGAATTGGTCCATTTTACTACTACTAATATGAATCTAGGAAGTTACAGTTGGCGGTCTGTATGTAATTTTATTGCCAGTCTATAAAATTAAATATTTAAGTGGACACTACACGAGCCATTAATGTGAAGACAGAAATATGGTATGCAGGAAATGACACGTTTGGTTTCGTACCATGTGCCTCAACTGATACTAATTCAATAAATAGAGTAATGGCATACCCTTGTTTAATATTTACCTCTTTTTGGGCAATTCTTATGTTTCAAATATAGTGAATTAAATTATATTTGTATGATAATTTAAAAATTGATTAAATGCAATGCAACATGAGATTCATGGCTCCATGCGTTTGTGTTAATGTAGCTCTGAATCTCACCGCTGCGCTGCGTATGGTGTGGATCATACCGCAACATCCAAGAGCGATTCTCCTTACACTGTCCCATGTTATTTGGTCTATTTATGCATCGAAAGATGTGAAACATTAAGATATACACGTTTTTTTAATGTGATTTTTCGCAGTGACAGTGCATTTAAATACAAGAGTTAAAACAACTCTTTTCATCGTAATGCTAAATATAATAACCATCTTATATTTTCATGTATTTTAGTTTTAAGCTTTGGTATTATAAACTAATTTCATGTTCTATTCATAAATACATAAGGGGAAAAGTTATCTAATTTATATTTGTAAAATGTTTAATAATGATGTCTAAATGATTTCATAAGATTTTTTTTTAAATAAAAAAAGCGAACATCTATTTTGATTAATATAAAGTGGGTTTGATAAATTTAGTATGTTGGACTTGGTTCATTTTAGAGAAAGTTACTTTTTACACTCGAGGGAGCTAAAAAAAAAAATTCTAAACACGTACCCCTTCCACAGTCGTAAAATAGTACCAAAATCATCCATTCAAACAAAATTATAAGATTGCTGAATTAAATGTCTTTCTTTTTCAATTGATAGATTAATTTGATAATATTTTTTTGTGAATAAGGAACCAATTTAATGTTATTTTTATTATCAAATAATTAAATTGATATAAATTGTTTTAGAACATTGAATTAATGTCATTTTTTTATATTTGAGGAATCAAATTTATGTATAACCAATTTGAGTGTCACTTGCAGTAATTCTAATCTATTCTATTTATCGAATCCTAACATAGTGTATAGATTTTAGTTTCTACATTGTACGGAATAAATATTTATATCCGGTTAAAATATATATAATTAACAAATATTTTTAAATCATAATATACCATTTATAATTCTGAAAAAGCATGTTTCCCCAAGTCCAATGGTTTTGCACGAGATGCTTCTTTTTCCATAGTCCATGTCACGTTTATGAACTCGGAGATGGAAACGAAATGGTACAACAAAAGAGAAAATATATATAATTTACTTATGGCACAAAATTTCCTAACTCAACACTTGATTATTTCTTTTCCTAGTTGAGGATACATACAAAATATAGAAACACAGATGTCTCGTGGCCATTAGAAATATATAGACAGCTTCTTATCTAAGCCATCCTGCAACAATTTACATTGCTCCAACAACTTGCTTAACTTGTCAGCTTCTTTGGTTGGTTTCCCATTCATTAATGCTCCACTGTTACCATTGTTTACACCATATGTTCTACCTGTATCCATGCTTGGAGATTTATCAAGTGGATGATTGCTTTCAGCATCCATCGGGTCAGAAGTATCATGGAATACATCATTTGAATCCCTCTGTGGAAGACATTGACGTGCTTCAGGCCTCAGCTGATAATTGACAGGAAGAGGAGAGCTGAAGCAGTCACTGATCATTTCATCTAAAGACATATCCGGATAATAAGATGAAGATGGCCATGTTTCAGTGCTCACTTTTGAAAGAGCAACAAGATGAGATTCTGAGATGTGAACCATGGAGATTTCCCTGCTAGATAAACCCATTAGACGCCAGTTGAAAATTCGACAAAAAATCATACCCCAATGTGGAACTACATGGTAGTTTGTGCCACGTAGCTCAAGTCTGACACAAGTTTGCACTGTGACACGTGCCTCTTGTGTTGCCAAAGGAATGCCCATCATCTTACTAGTGTGAGTAAAGTACTGCATCAAGCAATTCTCAAGCTGTATTTTATGGTTCTCAATATCTTGTCCAACTGTAGAACCTCTGGCCAACCAGGATAAATCATCAGGAAAAGTAGGGAGCTTAGTATTTCGCAAAGCAAACATAATTGGTTCAATTTTCACATTTGAGCTCCATCCCGAAGTTGGCAGGCACATTTTTGCTACTCTATCTTCATAACAAAACTTCTCAAGTAAACCAATCTCTGGACATGGCCAACCAGTAGGATTTGAATTGGCGGTCCCGATAATTTCCTTCATCGAGCGATCTAAGGCTTCATTGAACAAAGAGATATAGTCATTAGGACCCAAGTTGGAGTTAATGATGATGTCCTGCACCCCTGAGAAGGAATTAAGATGGCCGTGAAAAAGTTCTCGTATTTTCACACAGCCAAGCTTGGGTTGCAGGGGTGATTTACCTGCCAGCCATTGCAGCCCTTCCCTTAATCGTGTATCACTGAAAAATCCACCTGGGGTTTCACTGAGGAAAACAAGAAGAAAGCTACTAATCCGTAATTTGTCAACATTTTGAAGGCCCAGCTCATTAATTATAGCATCAGAGAACCTTTCATCATATGAGCCACATAAGATCAGCAGAGGCAAGCAGGCCCCAGAGGGAATTGACATCAGAAGATCATGAAGATGAGCTCTCTGAAGTTCCAATGAGATATTCTCAGACACAAGAAACAAAACTGCACCTGCCCCAGATACTGCCTCCTCTGGACTACCAAATGCTGTATCCCTAACTACAGAGAAGCAGCAGGTAGGATTGACGCCAGATTGACTAGAAAGCCATTTCCTCCACATCACCAAGCCAGGAGATGAAATAACCACATCTTCATCACTAGAAGGCATGAACTTTGAGGTCAACCACAATCTTGCTGCCCCAGTTTCATATTCACTGTTCATCTGAGAACATAGAACAATTTTCCAGCACAAGCAACTAGCATTTGGATTTCTTCTGCCTAGTGTACCAGCAACTACATCAGAAACATTAAGTCTTGACCATGATTTTTTCTGTTTTTCATATCTCTCCCTCATAACCATATCAATGTCAAACTTGTCGATTTTACTAGGTTGCTGCATCAAAAAAGGAACCATCAAAGTCAATAATAAATAAACCAAGTCAAAGATTAGGTAGGTATTCACAAAAAATTCCTAATAGACAGTCAACAAATGAAAATTGCCAGATGATATTTGTGTTCATGCACACAGTGGCAACACTTAATTATGCAGAATAGGTTTTCGTTAATTCGGCAACAATCTTCAGGATAAATGGAAATTCAAAAGTGGTCAGCAGG